GGCAAACCGCAGAGCCATTATATAGTTCACTGGGAAACAGCCCTGAGTTTTACCAGCATCTCTGTTTAATGTCAATCTTGTTTTCTTAAATCTGAACTATGATACTTTCTGTTATATCCAAACCATTCCTTTTTGGAATTCCAGGGAGAGGGAGGAAAAATTCCCAAACCTCATTTACTTTGCCTCTGACTCAAGTCCTGGCTAGTGAGTGTGGCTGGCTACTCCTTTCAATCTAATTAGTTGTTCTCAGAACTTTTTATTCATCTACTTCCCTGGGAAGCAAGTATTTACTGGGGGACAAGTATGCTGGATCTGTCTTTGATTTTAAAAGAGAAAAAAGAATCATCTGATGATGGTGTAGCTTGTCTACAGGACAGAAATCTTTTAGTATATAATGGAGCAGCAGCTTTGGGGGAGATTGGAAAGCTGCAGATGAGAGGGGTGGGGAGGGTTCTTCTTCAGAAGATCTGAGGTGGAGATCCAGAATGGGAAATTAAGTGGGAAATCTGAGGAGTGGTATAGATTCGAGTCAGGGCCTCATTATTGTCTCCATGGGCCTTTTGCCTTCTTGAGCCTTTTCCTTGTAATAATATCAACATTAAAAATTGTGTTTTTGTGGCTTTAGTCTAATATTTTGTATTTGTTCTCTCTTAGTCAAAATGTATTAGGTTTGTAGTACCTTACAAATTTTACTTTTTTTTTAATGTGAGAAAAAAAATATTTTTTGATCCTAAAAGTTATTTTTTCCCTTCTGATTTTAAAATAAGGTCAAACATTTGGTGGACTCCCAAAACCTTTGTGAGCCCCAGGCTCTGGGCTTCCTGGGCCTAATTGATGTGCCATCTTGGTTCTGGGGAAGGAGAAAGGCTTCATCTTGCCACATGGGTTTGGGGGCTAGTGATGCGGAAGAAGCTGCAAAGGGGCCCTGCTCCCTGACTGGCCTCAGACCTGCCAAAGTGCCTCTGGTTTGCCAAGACATGCATTTGATGGTCACGCCTCTGCTGTTCTTCTAAAGTTGCAACTAGACAAATAGGAAAGAACAGTGAACTAGAGTCCTGAAAACTAGCAGTCTGCTTTCATGGTTTGATTCTAAGTTGCTGTGTGACCTTGGGTAAGTCCTATGTCTCAATGGGTCTGTTCCAATATTTGASAAGTGAAGGAGTTGTACTAGACAAGAATGCTTTCTGTATAATTTATGCCCTACATGCTCCTGAAATGCTATTAGAAAAAGTCACAGTGAGATAAATGAAGTCATATATAAAAGAAGATGATTATACTTAGACCAGAACCTGGAAATAAGCTATTTACTGAAATACTACATTAAACTTAGCTCTGAATTTTCTGGCAACTGAAAAATACTGAGTTTTTTTGTCTGATTGAAATGAAGGTGGCTTTTCTTTCTGGATTTATTTGGCCTTTATTTATACTTTTTTTTAAATTATGAAATCGGCACTATTGTTGTTTAATTTCTTTTTTTAAAGAAAAATTCACTCACAGTTCCATAACCTCAATAAATCTAAATATTACCCTTCTAGACTTTATTCCGATGATCATTACCAGATAACATTTTTATTTTGGTTTTTACTTTTTTTAACTCAAGAAGATATGGTCTTTATTGTCATGCTGGTGCAGATTTGATGCCTGTTATCCTTTTAATGTATACACAATATCAGTTGGATATATTAAGCCAGCCCTGATCATTAGGCAGTTAGTTGATTTCCAATTTTTTATCACCATCCAGAATGAGCTATCGATATTGTAGTATTTAATTTCTTTAGGATACTTTATACTACACAAATTTCCAGGAATAAAAAGGTTCAGRAAAAAAGTATGAACCTCATTTGTGTTTTCTAAACTGTGACCTTTTAATTTTCCATGAGGTTGTGCTGTTTTTGCTCTGGGGCACTAAATGCTAAGATAAATGAATAGGGAATCTCATGAAGCAATGTCTTTTTCAATTTGAAATGGCTCTCCATGGGTTTGTTGCAAAAGCAGAGGAWTATTTGATGTGAGCTAGATTTGTTACTGGTATCAATATGCTTTTAGTATTTCAGTTCATATAGTCTATTTGTGCAGGGAGAGAGGACAGCTTATTGAACTGGGAATAAACAAATTGTCTGGAGAGTGAGCTGAGGAATGGAGAGGGACGCTTAGAGGGTCAGCCCTGCTCTCCCATCAGGAAAGTTGTTGAAGAATTTTATTCCTTGTCCATCCAAGACTTCCCCCTKATTGTTGTAGAGCTGGAATCCTTCTGGATTGGGTGGCTGTGCTTAACTTTCCCACTATTTATGGCTGTAAGAATGTAAATGGAGCTAAGTGTTTCCTTCTTTCCTGGATCTCAAACAGCTTGGTCTCAGAGTGCTGAGCTTCCCGGAGTGTTTCCAGAGAAGACAGCCTGAGGGAGAGGAAGTGGTGCTAATTAAATCCGCCCTCTGTTTTCCAGGCACAGGAGCCTTTCACAGATGTCTGTTGTTAGGCGTGTGTTCACAGAGTGCGCAAATACAGAAGCAGGCTTTCCTTCCCGAGTGACACAAACCTTCTTCCTTCACAGGTTATAGGGAACTTTAGAAAGGCATTTCCTTCCAACACCCACTGTAGCGGAGGTGGAGGTGGCAGACCTGCATAAACAGGGTGCTCAGCTGCCCGCAAGGCCAAGGTGCCTCACCAGCCCCGCCTCTCTCACCCTCATCCACACTCCCACTATATTTCCCTACTTCTCCATCCCTTGTATTCTTATAGGCCAATCTCTTCCTTTTGCACATCTAACTTTTAAAAATTACCTGAAACTAAGGAAGGCCCTCCTGTTAGGGGACAGCATGACATCATGATGGACATGTTGGGCTCACAGTGTGGTTGGAAGTCCAGGTGCTGCCACAGCTCTCCAAGTGTGCTCTGGGTAGGACCCCTCTACCCTGTGTCCTCAGAAACACAAGGATAGAGTAGAAAACTCTTCCAGGGTTGCTGGAAGGATCAGAAGAAGCAGAATAAATTGCAAACTGCAGAAGACTTTCCCCTTGTGGGTTCCCCTAACTGACTGTGTTCTCCTACACTCAACCGCATAAGGTGACTGTCTACGGCCGCATTTGTCTGAGGCAGTCCTATTTGTATCTATCATCCAGGCATAACTGCTAATAGTTCCCTTAAAAAAAAATTTAAAAAAAAAATATATATATATATGTGTGTGTGTGTGTGTGTAATTTTAATTTTTATTTTAAAATATAGTTTAATGTATTTTATATTGTCTAGATGGACACAATACCTTTGTTTTCTTTCTTTATTTTTTGATGTGGTGCTGAGGATTGAACCCAGGGCTTCACATGAGCTAGGTAAGCGCTCTACCACTGAGCCATTACCCCAACACAGCAGTATCCTTTCAATGCCAAAGTATCCAGGTTTAGGTAATAAACTGGATGATCATGCTATTTTGACTTCTGTTGAATGCTGTAGTTAGGCCCAAGTTCAAGAGAGGAAACTTTTKGGGGGATGGGCTTTTTCTTACTTTTGGGTGTTTCATGGGAATTAAGGAAATTGAATTAAAACTACCTTTGATTAAGAACAGGGAGGCAGCACTGAGAAAGTGATACATTCCCAGKTACATGGGGAAATGAGACACAAAACCTTCCATGTAGAGTTGGTATCAGGGATGATTGGCCTCCTGCCTCAGCTTGAAAATGCAGCTTCAGATACGCATTTCATGAGGCTTACGTGTGCCTTCTATTTTGGTTTGTTTTATATTTACAAAATARAAATAAATTTATGATTTTTATTTTAAATGATGTATGATCACTACTAATATCCAGAGACATAAAAATGAAAAGCACCTCTAATACTTTCATCTGGAGATAACTATTTTTAATATTCTGTTTTACTTTTTTTCCCAGATGTTTTCAGCCACATCATGCAGGTATATACATATACAAGACCATTTATAATATTTCTTTCTTTCTAAACGATTTTAATAGGCTGAATAACATTACCCATATAACTTATTTTTTCCCATAATTTGGACATCTTTATATGATACCAATATATACTCATTTTTTAATTATTGTATTGTATTTGATCATATGGCATAACATTTTATTTGGTCAATTCTGTATTGATTGATACTCAAGTCTCACTATAAATTTTTGGTATTATACATAATATTATATGTTTAATTTTGCTACTATATGCCATATTTATCTATTATACATAATGTAATGAACAAATAAATGCATTTGTGTGTGTGTGTGTGTGTGTGTGTGTGTGTGTGTGTGTGTGTGTGTATGTCTTTGGGCAGTTGTCTAGATTATTCCCTTAGAATACATTTTTAGTATTGGAAGAAAATTCGCAAATTTAAAAAACTTTACTCAATTTTAAGTAATCTTTTGCCCTCTTACTACCCACAAAACAGATAAATTGCTAAATTTTAAATAAGCTTACAATCTGGTGAGTTTTCAAGCAACAATCCTATGAAATCTTGAAGAGAAATTGGTAATTATTTCATACTACTCTTCCTTAAGATCAACTTCTGGTCTCCTTGTATTAAAGAGGAGAAAGTGGATAATGATGTTCATCACATTGTAATGCAAACAAACAAACAAAAACAAAGTACATGTATAAAGGCATGAATTGGCCTTTATGAACGTACTTTATATATAAAGATATGAAAAATTGTGCTGTATATGTGTAATAAGAATTGTAATCTTTCCACTTCATATATTTAAAAAAAATTAAAATAAATTTTTTAAAAGAAGAGAAAATGGAAGACTTGCAGTTTCCTTTTTTTCTATGCAGAAGCTCTCTGCTTCTGGGCTGTGCTTAAAGGTCCTGTGGGATCATGGATTGTAGTTAGAAGTGTGGGTTATTGAGCTTACCCACTAGTGCCCCTGTTTATTTAACCTTTGGGGTGTTGACAGTTTCCAGAATGTCTTTTTTCCATCATAGCCTATTTTGCTGCAGCTAGGATGCAGATGATTTATTTTTCTAACCAGAGGACTTCTCTTCCCTCGTTTTAGGCTGAAGAATGTCAACAATTGGAAGTTTTGAAGGATTCCAGCCAGTGTCTCTGAAGCAAGAGGGAGATGACCAGCCCTCTGAAACTGATCACCTGTCCATGGAGGAGGGAGATCAAGATAAGACCCCTGTGCGGAGGGAAATCTCAAGACAGTCAAGTGTAACTAAATCAACACTTTGCCCCAATCCTTATCACCAGCCTTATATCTCACGGAAGTACTTCGTTACAAGGGTAAAAGCTTTTAAATATTATGTAAAATTGTTTTCAAAAAATCTTAATGCCCTTCTGTGTGCCACAAGTCTTGCCACGTGGTTGCACTATTTTTTATTCTCATGTAATAATAGCAATGATCATGATGGAGATATCTTTATTCCCATTGTACAGATGACGGGCCTAAACTTCAGAAAAGTTRAATGTCTGTTCTTGACATCCCAGATAGTATCAAGGAGAAACAGTTGCTCTAGGATTTGGATCTTTGGTTCCTTAGTCTTGTGTTCATGCTAAATTTGGCTTCAGAAAACTAATGTTTTATGCAGAGTGAATCTATAATATAGCAGCTAGAATGTAAAGCTGGGAACCTGGTGTTTGTTTGGAAAAAGACATAGATTGTGAAATGGAAAAGGGTTTCTGGGAATAGGCTGAATCTCCAGGATTGAGGGTGGGTACTGTTGTTCTGTTGTGGGGGTATGCACTTTAAAATCTCAAGTAGCTGCAGTCTGGAGCTGAGCTGTCTCACCTGTGAAGTGCAGTACAGCTGGGGAGTAAATGGGTGAGGATGAGGCTCTTTTAACTGGATGTAAAAATGTGTCTTAAATTTATTGCATCTGGATCGGGTACTTTCTGGGTTTCTAATATCTTCCCTCTTGAGCTTTTTTTTTTTTTTTTTAAATCTTCTTTCTCAGTTCTTCAATGTTCTTGTCAATAAAGGTAGTGGTTACCTATTATCAATTAGGGGTAAAATTAGGGAATTGCACTGTGACCTCAGAGGTGTAATTTTCGTGTGCAAGGAATATTCGTTGGTTGAAAAAAAATGTTTTTCAACTTAATATCATAAATATTTGGGGCCAAGAATTTGTGACTATTTACAAAGATTTCATTAATGAATTTTGATTTAGTATCCTTACAAATATATTTTTAAGATAAATTTTTAACTAAAGCAACTGAATGTGTGTGAGTCTCTGTGTGTGTGTGTGTGGTGTATGTGTGTGTGTGTGTGTGTGTGTGTGTGTGTGTCTGGTTGTGTGTGCTTAAACATTATGTAGACTCTTATGTGCAAGGTGCTTTGGTAGGTTCTATATTATGTGTGTGTTTATGTGTTTTTGCATATGTCAAACATATGGTTTGCTTTCCAAAATATGTGAACTTTATTGAATCTGCGAAGTTGTGAGATAGAGCTGCAAATGAAATCAAAGCATCCTTTAGAGGTTTATAATCTTTGATATTGATGAAATTGGGGTTTAATGAAAAGGAGCAACACAGTGATATAGAGTAAGGTATTTATCACTGGGAGCCAAGGCAATCGTGAAACCTGACTAAAACTCCATGTAGAGATGTTGTCTTTGCATCTGGTGATGGGCCTAATTTGGTATAGGTCAACCAGTAAGCAGTTGTAAAGAGAGAATAGAGAATAGTGAAGAGGGAAAAAATACATGGCAAAACTGAAATTTCTCAGGACGAAGTAAAACTTTGTCTATCTGCCACCATCTAACTTTGATGATATGCATCTTATGTATGTATGTTTGTATGTATTTATTTATAACCCAGGGCATGCCAGGAAAGTACTCTACTACCGAGCCACATCCCCAGCACAGGGATTCATTTTTAGTAGCTGGCAACTATTACCACTGCACTGCTCACTTAGCCAACCCAGGGTTAGGAGAATCTCAGGGAGGAAATCAGACTAATAMGGATATACTGGTACAGGTTCCACTCCTTATCATCAAGGGGACCAGGTARTAGTTGTCTTGAACATGAGCTGCCCCAGTGTATAAATGACCTATACTGATTTTCAGCAAGGAAAAGGACAGAAATTTCATTTTTGCCTTTTGAATCTTGCACAGATGTCTCTTTCAGCCAACTCCACTTTGAAAATAAAGCAAACACAATTCTAGAAAATGTAGTTCCAGCTTAGATAAATTGACACAGTCCAAAGCCACTACATATGTTATTATATATTTCCATAATGCTTTTATTATTGTGTCTCTGTGTGACTTATATAATAAATTCACATCCTTTATCTGTTTGGTTCCCTGCAGTGAAACTGTGTGGTAGGCAGGGGAGGGCTTACCATATTTTTCTTAAAAGTGAACATATTGAAATTTCAGAGGAGTGAATTAACCTCTGAAAGCCRCACACTATTAATGGAAAATCTGCAGCTAGATTCTGAATCTGCCTACCCAGTCAAATGCACTGCTCTTCTTATCATGCACAATTGAATTTATGGCCCTTGTATAAGAGTTTTCAGTGAATCARTCTAATCAGCGTGAAGAACATCTTCATCAGGTGTGTAGAAAACAACCCTAAGTTCTCAAAAGCTTATTCTCATTTTATTGGGGAGTCTATTGTGTATCTGAGAACTCTTTATTGGCCATGAGGGCAAAATTCCCARGGCACTCAACATTTGCTCTCCTTCAGACTAAAAGGCATGAGTTCTTTCTAGCCTGTGAGCATAACCAATGTGTGTTAGCACATGTGAGGATAATGAAAGGACAACTGTTGATTCAACTGAAATTTATAATGACAGGCTTTTTAAAAAATAAATAAAGGATTAACTCAGTTTTACTAGCTTATAAACAACAGATCTCCTGATGTGGTGGTAGTTGAGAAAATGGAAAGGTGTGTGTGTGTGTGTGTGTGTGTGTGTGTGTGTGTGTGTGTGTATGAATTTATTCATCTGAAAAGTGTGGATAAAAACCCCAGTCTTATGTCAGGTTTAAATATGCTAATTTTGTAAAAGTTCTCAGAGTATATGACACATTTATCAACATTTCATAAATTATTTCAAAATTGTTATTATGGATGCCTTTTCTCTGTTAACATTCACATTTCTATATGTAGTTATAAGAATGGCATTGAGATACCCAGGATGTCACAGGAATTCCAGGATGAGATAGAAATGGAGATGTTAGGGTCTATAGGAGTAAATAAGAGCCAGTTTATTTTCTGAAGAGATAATTAAATAAAACCAAGATTCATAAAGTTTCAAATCTATGAACCTCTTCAGAAAGTATCACTCCTTAGAACTGAAGTGAAATCTGAGATGCTGTCATACAGGGCTTCTTAATCGCTACTGTGCAAACAAATTAGATTCTGCACTTCTACAAACCTTCTGGCAACACTGAAGCTTTTTGTCCACAGATCACACTTTGTACCCCAAGGAGCTTGTCAATCCATTCATTTGCAGAGGGAAATAAAGGCCAGAAAGGGGGAGCTGCTGACTGAATGTCATATTATTAGTGAGCTTTGACTTGCCCATGAGGCTAGAAAGAGCAAAGCTGGGGCTAGAACCAGTTTCCAGCTGCCATTTCATAATTCTGGGGCCAGTGCTTCAATGAAAAACAAAAACATTTATTACAGATCAAGAATTTGAGGGATAGATGTTGCAAATTCAGAAGAGCAGTGAGTGAATGAAAAGATTTCTTGGTCAGCATTTTATTTTACTAAAAGATTTAAAAATCATTGCACATAAAATGGTTTATCAATRCAAAATTAGGAAATATGGATAAACCAAATAGAAGTCACCATAATCCCACTACTGAAAACTAACCAAACAGTATTGACTATTCACTTACACCTTTGGGTATATATCTTTTTAAACTTCTTACATGTATAATTTTTATGTAAAGTGAGATTGTATGCTCAATATTATTTTATATGTCAATAATATCCTTCTATATCATTTGTGTGTGTGTGTGTGTGTGTGTGTGTGTGAATGAGAATTAAACCCAGGGCTTTGCATATGCTAGGCATGTACTCTACGACTGAGTTACACCTCCAGCCTTGTAACATTATTTTTAACAGTTCTATAATATCCCCCTGTGGGGATATACTGAAATTTATTTAACATTTGTTGGATATTTAGGTTATTTTTATGTGTATAATTTAAACTAGAAAAGAAAGCCATTTCTTGGCTTTCTGTGGYAGGATAAACTAACTCAGGTACCAGATAGACCTGTCAGTGCTATAATAAAAAGACTCAACTAAATGAATTTCAAGTTGGCTTTGTAAAAGGATGACTGAAATGAAAATTCAGATTAATTCTTGGCCAACAAGAGATAATGTTAACATCTTACTCTCAGATATTAAATACAGGACTGAGTATCAGACCATGAAAGAAATCAGTCTGGTCCTTAAAACCACATTGTTCTTTACTAATCAGTCAAAGGAGGTTATTTCCTTCTATCAGGCTTTCATACTATTATTTCCCCAATTGATACCCCTCTGACTTAGTTTAGGAGAATTCTGTTCAGTGGTAGAAGGTCTTAGAGAATGTCTAAAATACCCCATAAAGCACACAAAGGAGGTGTAACTTGTCCAAYCAAGTTCAGGCAGCAACCTAGAGACCATGAAGGACTGGGAAGTAGGTCCAGAATTCAGGACTCTTGACACTTTCCCACATACTGCACTACCTCTGACTTAGAAGAGTGAGTTAGAGGTCACAAAAGTGAAGGTCTAAACCCCTTGTCATCTACACGCTTGATAACTTTTTCTTCCAGTTTGAGCTCATCTGCTATTATTGCTTAGACATATCTAAATTCAGCCTAGTGCCTTCTCTGAACAAAAGTATCCCTCAAGGCTAATAACTTGAGGTACATTATGATAATCATCTTAGTTGTGGAGACTATTCAAAAGCAACTTCTTATGAAAGAAATAATACTTAATCCACATGGGGAAAGATATTTTTAAACTCCCTGTAGGACTCTATATTTGCAGATACCTTATCAGAAAGTTGAAAGCGATTTGGGATGGGGAATTATCTCTAAATTTGTACTTGAGAATGTAAATTACATACAAACTAATGGGACTAAAACTATTTGATCTTTTAATATTTAATTAATGGTTCCCCATGGCCTTTTTATAGCCTGTGTTCTATTGTGAGCAACGAGACTTTAATAAGCAGGTTCAGGACTTCCCATTGTGTAAAGAGATGTCATTGCTTCCATGACACTAATTTGGCTTTCATAGTCTCTCTCTTTCCCTCTTCGTTTGCTATAGGGTTCCCTGTGTCTTGC